GGGGGGTTGGGCTGGCTGGAAAGAGAAGAAGGAGAAATTGACACAACTTGGATGGATAATTGGCGCTCCACCACTGTGCGCTTTTCAAGACACTTTTTGCCTCGCACTACCAATCTGTGGAACAAGTTATCGGCTGCGGTATTTCCGGACCGATACGACCTTCAAACCTTCAAGAAAAGAGCGTACTCGTTCCTCAAAGGCTGGCAACGTGCTTGTGACTCCTAAGTTGCAGGCGTTCATAGACGGCGGTAGTCGCTTTCTATCAGGTTACCCGTCTGCTCATTTGCCCCCTATTCCATAAAAAACCTACCTTACAAGATTATTACACCAGCCGAAGGTTGACTGGAAGAGAATGCTATTAAGTCCGCCGATAAGTTAAATAAATAAATAAATAACTTTTTCAACGATAATTCAATCTATTATGTGTAAAAATACATTACTTTGATTTTATTGTTATACTCCACTTGTTATTGAAGATAAAAGCATTCTAAAACTATTTTACGCGTTGTTTTTGATTAACATTTTGATAGTGTATCTAAGTTTACATTTATTGTTCAGCCAAAGCTGAGTGGATGGATTTAGTAGAACATAAATATTTTGATATATTCTATTTCTATTTCCTACGTAATAATGTGTACTTGGGCTGACCATGATACTGTACAAAATTCCATAGGTAATATTGGTTTGTCTATGCTGAAAATAACTTTTTGGCACAAATTAAGTCTATGATAATTAGTGATGACAGTTGACAGACAGGTGACAGACAGACCCGCGCTACTTCGTCTCGTATTTCTAAAGGAATCAATTTCCTCTGTTTTTAACCCCGACGCAAAAACGACAGGTTGTTATAAGTTAGCTATGTTTGATAAAAACGGTCCAAGATGGCCGCCGCCACAAAATGGCGGATTACATACTTTTTCACAACTCCGTCAATATGGGTATCAAATGAAAGGGCTTGACTAGTAGAATACTATACACTATGACAAATTTAAAATCCAAGCTATGTGTCGGGGTTTTTTTTAAATGTTTCATTTAATTATTGCTTCTTTGTTCGTTGATGCACGGCTCCTATTGGTCGTAGTGGGATCATCATCATCAGCCTATCGCAGTCCACTGCTAGATATAGGCCTCTCCCATTGCACACCACTTAGATTGATTTTGGGCTCGCATCCAGCTCCTGCCAGCCATCTTGCGCAAATCGTCACTCCACCTGGCCTGTGGGCGTCCTACACTACGTTTGCCGAGACGCGGTCTCCACTCAAGAACTCGTTTTCCCCAACGGTTGTCGGTTCTGCGGCTAATATGGCCAGCCAGTTCAGCCATTGCCACTTCAGCTTGCTGAAGTGGCAGTGGGCTGGCCATATTCTTTTTTTACTAATTTTTTTTCTTGCGTAGTGGGATGTAATATAGTATTATAGATTGGCGAGAATAACTCTTCAAACAAATTATTTCATTTATTTTTTTACAATTAGATCATGAGATATGTGAACCTCTTAATTTTTGTTTGTTTAAAAGACAACTCTCACACTATGAATTTATACTGTGTCGACTTTACAAACATTTATTCAAACGGGTATAAAGAACACCCAGACTCAGAGTTGGGGACAATTTGGGGATCACACAAAGCATTGTCCTATGAGGAGTTCGAAAGCACAACTCTCAGCCCAGTAGAAAGCGACGAGTTGACCGCTTAAACCATTACGCCATCCGTCGTTGCCTACTAACTCGCTACTTGCTGTTCGTGGGACAAATGCTTCACTATCTGTGCTACACCTTTTTTTTTGTTTTTCCGTGCGGAAATCCCCTCGGATATAACCTATCGGTGGCATGTCGGACTCGAACCGACTAAAACATCACGCCGTCTCGGGTATTAATAGCCGGGGAACCAGGTATACCCTAGAAAGGACGTCCCTGGTGCCCCGACATACCTCGGGCCATCTACAGACGAGTAGACGACCCCCCCCCCCCCCGAACTATCTGTTCTACACCTGTATATCGTTTTGCTTGTTGAAGTTATAGTTTTAAATTCCTAGCTTTTGTAACATTCCTTTTAGTTCAAAGGTCTTTGTTCTATTCCATTTATTTGCTTATTTAAATACCGGCAAAAAGATCATGCAGTCTTGCACCAACAAGATGGACCGACCAAGGGAAAGATCCATCTTCCACCATTTGATACGCGGTCGTAAGAGAGTGCTGAACGGTAACATCCGCTCCCGATGCAACCCTGCACTCTCTTAAGATCTTTATTGTACAAAACTTCACATCAATCATCATCACATCAATAGCCTTTACTAGTCCACTGCTGGACATAGGCCTCTCCTTAGAAAGGAGGTTTTGGCCTACTATACCACGCTGGCCAGACGGGTTGGTATAGGGATTGTTTCAAGTTTTCCTTCTCTCTGCAGTGCTGTCCTGCTTAGTTTGCTTCCTTAGTCGCCTCTTACGATACCCACGGGATGAATACGGGTGGTGACACTCTGTATTCTTAATCCGTCACCACACGGACTATCTTGAACGTACAAAACTTGAAGAAAATATAATACGGCCGTGTTTTGTAAAACTTGAAAATGGCTGGCAGCGGGTGGATGCGGACTACCTAAGATCGGGATGGTTGACGGCTTGGGGGACGTCGTTTAGCAGTGGACAGTGATAGGCTGATGATAGTCATGCGTAACAATTAGGGGTCTTCCACACAGCCTTTATAAGGATATTGACGAATCTGATAGGTATGTCAGAGGTAGTCTTTGGTGTGTCCAATGTGTCCTTGTCCTTTCAACACAGGGCTGGTCCCCAACCAGGTGAGGTAATCATGCTTGGCGGACCGCGCCCTAATGTAGAAGGTTCAGGTTTCAAATTCTATTTACATAACACGTCGTCCGTGTGGTGACGGATTAAGAATACAGAGTGTCACCACCCCTATTCATCCCGTGGGTGTCGTAAGAGCCGACTCAGGGAGCAAACTACGCAGGACAACAGCACTGCAAAGAGAAGGAAAACTTGACACAAACCCTATACCAACCCGTCTGGCCAGCGTGGTATAGTAGGCCAAAAACCTCCTTACTAAGGAGAGGCCTATGTCCAGCAGTGGACTATTAAAGGCTGTTGATGATGATGATTGATGATGATTACATAACACTTCCTTGCTTTTTAAACTATGTGATATACAATGTGTCTGGGTTCGGACTGTACAAACTTTAGGGGGTGATAGTTTGCTCTATTTTATCACTAAAATCATTCTACAGGTGGGGTCTAAACCCAACGGCCTCTGAATGGCAGCCATTTTTGTATTTTGGTTGACTTTTTCGTAGCGTCCATACTAAAAGTTATGTAACTTTGGAGTTTAATGTCCGATTATCGTAAAACATCACACACCAGGACACATTGTATAGTGTACAATAAAGTATAATGAATATATTAATTAGGTACGTTTGTTTTTTGACTGCACGGATGGCGTAGTGGTTTAAGCGGTCGCCACGCCGCTTCCTATTACGCCGAGTGTTGTGGGTTCAAACCCCACTTGGGAGAACACTTTGTGTGATCCACAAATTGTTGTTCTAAGTCTGGGTGTTCTTTGTGATCGTTGCATGTATGTTTGTAAAGTCCCCCGCGACACAGGATTTATTCCTAGTGCGGGAGTTGTCTCGTTAAAAGAGAAAAAAAATTAAGTATAAATGGGGCTGTGTAATTTCTCCTTGAATGTTATTATATAAAATATATGGACCTATCTGTCATGGCAAACAATAGATCATAAATGGATTGGTTCTTGTCCTACAATGGACGGTATCGGTTGTATCTAAATCTTCTTGTAATTGACCCTCGGTTCTACTTCATTTGGCAGTAGCGGTTCCGTCTCGCTCCAGTGGAATAATGAACTTTCTCTGATAGGAACTTATAATAATAATAATATTCTACCACCATCTACGCCATCTAGTCCCAAACAAAGCAGAGCTTGTACTATGGGTACTAGACAACTGATATAAATACATATATACTTTTTTTTGTAAATACATACATATTATATATAGAAACACCCAGACCAAATCAAACATTAAAAGTTCATGCACACAAATGTTTGACTTGAGCGGGAATCGAACCGAACTTAGACTTTGAGAGAAGAAGTGTATTTAAAAGTTTAATTACGAATAACATTTATGGCCATCATCATTATCAACAGCCTTTAATACGAACGGATTAAAAATAAGGAGTATTCTTCAAACTACGCACGACAACAGCATTGCAAAAGAGAAGGAAAACACAGATTTTCAGTGAGTTTGTGGTATCACTTCGGAGTACCGGCCCATTTGCTGAAGCATGGCTTACGTATCAGTATATTGAGTACAATAACTGTCATTATTTTCTATAATTTACACACAATAGAAGGAATATAAGATGGGTGAGATTACGTCGAATAAGGACAGCACGACAAGAATTAATTGCGTTAAAACCAGTTATTTCTTCGTATCGTAACTTATTCCTATCTGTTAATGTTTTGTTACGTGTGGTGTGAATTAATAACTGGTCAAGAATCCAGGTCTTTTTGGAACGGAGTTCCTTATCGCGCGTTGTGAAAGGGGGCTAGACGAAAAGTTGTAACGACACTTTTTATTTTGAATTGTCATTTGTCAACCATTCAGCGCCATCAATCGAATAGATAGGAAATCATTACTTTGCATCTCAGTAAAATTAAAATTTATGTTCTTAGGTTGAGCAAAAAATATTGTATTCGACGTCATTTCTCAAGGAGATTTTACCAATGTATAAATTGTTTTAATTAGAAACCAATTGAAAAATATGTAGGTAATAGCCGCTTTCATAGATGGCGTTGTAATTAAAATCGTGTCGAATCAGTTTTACTCGATCGTCATAACTTCGTTCTTATCGGGTGTCCCACGACACCACACGGCTTTTTTTTATTAGCACACTGAAGGTTCCGTACCAATCTAATACTAGTCTTAGTAATACTTAACTAATTACTAATATTTTATTTCAGTCTGTGAACGATGCGCGAAAGCCTCCGCCGTCTCGCTCACTCATCAGACGATGGTATGGAGCGTCACGGGCGCAGGACTGGAACGCGACGAGTTCGGGTCGAGTTACTGGATTCGGAACATATCACAGTCGATATCGATGTAAGTAGAATATGTATGTTTTCTATTCTAGTTGTCTAAATTTTGGAAAAAGTAATAGTCGGTAGGTGCAAGGTCTGGTGGTCACATCTGCAACTTCTCCTCCACGCTGCTCCACTGCTCCTTCACGACAACGCGCGACCCCATACTGCGCAACAGACAGTCTCCAAGCTGCAAGAGCTGGGGTTGGAAGCTCTCCCTCATCCACCATACTCAACAGACCTTGCACCTACCGACTATTACTTTATCCAAAATTTAGACAATTTTTAGTGGGTAGAAGAGTTTGTTGCCTCCCGTCCAGCTGATTTTTACAAGAAGGGCATCAATAAACTACCAATGCGTTGGCAAAGATGCGTCGATTGCATGGGTGATTACTTCGAATAACAGAAATAAAAAAAATTGAAAAAATAAGTACTTTCACTTATTGCATACAAAACGGCAATTTCATAGGTAAAGACCTATTATTTATGTCATAATATGGTATGATTTACGTGATATTAGCACTGCACCACACGAAATACAAATTCGAACTTGATGAACGGAAGGATCTTTCAACAGGATAGATCGAGATAGAGAACTGTAGCTAAGAAAATGATAATAATAATAACTCGATACATTTTACACACGGATGTCTGATCCCAAACTAGGCAGAGCCTGTACTATGGTAACCAGACTGCTGCTAAACATACTTATATTTTTCCAAATACATACATATCAAATGATAAATGATATTTATTTCTGTAAGTAAATCTTTTCAGATATTTTTACAAGTCGGACTTTATAGCTAGAAGGAGCCGGCATTTCCTAAGACTCACTCTAGGAAGCAACGCCGAAACAAACCACAGAGGTGTCTTTTTTTTTAAGTCCGTAAACAAAGTTAAATAAAACTGTGCGATTACAGTATAGGGTCTGGATAGGCCTTTTGAGGAAAGGACCATAGTTTTGAGTCAGCCTGTCCATACAGACGGCATACAGGCTCCAGCCATCGTGTAGCCTAACCGATATTGGTCAAGATCAACGACCCGAAGCATGACACTACCGCCAGCAGGACATTTGGGTAGGCCGTGGAAACACTCAAAACCACCAGAAAGATAATAAAATACGAATTAACATTACAAGCCTACACTATACTCACATTTACATACTTACACAAAAAGTAAAAAAAATACTATACAATTCAAAGTCAACGAAAAATAAATTACGAAAACAAAATACGAAATACAAACTAAATACAAAATTTAACGAAATACAAAATTTCAAACTTAACAAGATAGATAACTTATCATAGATAAATAACACCTAGATACAAATACGTCCGGCTTAGCAGTTATGGATGGAAGTTGTTCATAGTGGAGGGAGAACGTTAATAACTACGTAGTTCGGATAGTCTTCGTTAGATGGCGTTGATTATGATGACTTTCACATGCCGACATTAGATAGGTCGCGGTTGAATGTGGCATATTTTACGCACACATGAGAGACACTCCGTATTCTTAGTCCGTTACCACACGAACGTTTTCACATTTTAATACCAATTTTTTATCAGAACTCTATTAAAAGCAGGGTTGGAGATGTATTCTTACCACTCGAATGTTACCCGTCAACAGGGAGGAGGAAATCTTTTCGTAAGTTTTACTAAGAGAAAACTGACAGAGTCCTGATAGAGCTAATGACCGTCAGGACCTGCCTGTTGGTCTAGCGGTTAGTGATCGTAATTACTACGCTAAAAGTCGCGAGTTTGATTACCACCAAGGACAAATAATTCTGTGGTAACCACGATTATTTGTTGTGTCTGGGTGTAATTTATCTATAATATATAGTGAGTGTCACCATCCTTGTTCGTCCCGTGGGTGTCGTAAGAGTCGACTAAGGGAGCAAGCAGGACAACAGCACGGCAGAGAGAAGGAAAACTTAACACAAACCCTATACCAACCTTCTACCAACCCTCTCTGGCCAGCGTGGTATTATTATACCACGCTGGCCAGAGAGAGTTAGTAGAGGGTTCCCTTCTTAGAAAGGGGCCTCCCTTAGAAATGGGTTTTGGCCAATAGGCCAATACCTCCTTTCTAAGGAGAGGCCTATGTCCAGCAGCGGACTATTAAAGGCTGTTTTTGACGATGATTATATATGTATTTAAAATATATAAGTATGTTAATTAGCAGTGTCTAATATAGCTCAGGTTCTGCATATTTCGGGATTCGATAGCCGTGTATTCGATAGAAATGTGAGGTTGTGAGGGTATATACTGAAACTATTAAATCTAATTAAACGTGATCTTCCTACTTCAAGATTCCAGTTGAGCGGATATATACGAACAATTAAGAATAGTTATCATACACTATTTACGAGAGCGTGGGTAGTGATGGGCCACAGATAAATTGCTTGTAAATGTAACAAATATCTGAAGTTTCCACTTCATATAAAAGAAACTGTTTACTTTAATGTTATGGTAGAATGTGATGGGCGCTTGCAATATTCTTATTACCATTATGTTACCACATTTCTAGTAAATAAATAAATTTCAATTTTAGAACCTTATTTTTTGTTTGTGGCTTTTGTTTTACAGCGTAAAGCCCGTGGTGGAGATCTCCTTGATAAAATATGTGAGACCTTGGACTTATTGGAGAAGGACTACTTTGGAATGCTGTACGTGCAGCGAGGGGATCCAAGAGTTTGGGTTGACTTGAATCGAAGGCTGTCCAAGACCTTTAAAAGTAAGTACAAAAAATAAAGATTCCGACGAATTGAAAACCTCCTTTTTTAAAGTCGGTTAAAGATAATCTATACCAATATCATAAAGCTGAAGAGTTTGTTTGTTTGTTTTTTTGAACGCGCTTATCTCAGGAACTACTGGTCCGATTTAAAAATTATTTCAGTGTTAGATAGCCCATTTATCGAGGAAGGCTATAGGCTCTATATCATCACGCTAAGACCAATAGGAGCGGAGCACCAATGAAGAATGTTTCAAAAACGGAGAAAATTTATTACTAGACGCAGACGAAGTTGCGCGGGTCACCTAGTCAGAAAATAAAGCATTTGTTTATCTATGTTGTGATAGCCGAAGTGAGACGCGTAGCGCCATCTGTTATAAAGTAACAGAACTACTCGAATTTTCCGATATAATTTGATCATTACTAAATATTCTACGATGTTCTGTCAAGGGCTATCTAGTAATTTTGGTTATACGATTATTCGGTAAAGTTTACAAACCTTTTGAACTCTGTTACGAGACAGACCGGGTCATAAACAGTAGGTAGGTACAGTACCGTAATTCAACATTATACTCTTACGGTGAGTAAATACGTGCTAAGAATAAAGATCACTGTAAACAAATATTATTGTGAATCTATACTAATATGATACACCTAAACAGATTGTATGTTTGGTTGAAAGCTCTAATCTCAGTAACTACTGATTTTAACTGAAAAATTATTTAAGCATTGGATAGCCCAATTATCGAGGAAGGATATAAGGCTGTATAACATCATGCTACGACCAATAGGAGCCAAGCGTCAAAGAAAAATAACAATTATAATATACCTCACACATCTCACACACGGCCGTCTGATCCCAAACTAGGCGGAACCTGTACTATGGTAACCAGACTGCTGATAAACATACTTATATATTTATAAATACATACATATTATAGATAAATTACACCCAGAAATAGAACAAATGACCGTGCTCATCACAAAACATTTGTCCTGGGTGGGAATCGAACCCACGACCTTCGGTTTAACAGTCAGGGCCCGAGATTTTAACAGGACCGAAGAAAACGTTGCAAACACGGGGAAAATTTATTCCTTTACGCAGTCAAAGTTATTGATTAATTGAATATCATGAAATTTATTGTGATTAATTAACCAAAGTGGATTTGTTTAATGTGTATAAAAATAATTTATTTAATGTCGAACTCTGGGTGGTACCAATACGATATATTATATTTTTTTATGTTAGACGAGCAGGGCTTCAATTCTGCTTTTTTACGCCTTTGACATCAGTCAAAATATCAGTATTCTACTAACAGAAATTTACAGTGTCAATAGACTATCGATATAGTAATATAGGTCATCAGTGGTGATATCAACAACATTGCTATACCTGGAAAATTTAATATGTAATTTTCTTACAAATTTAAAATGTACCGTTAACCAAACTCTTACAAAGACATCGACGACATTTGTATCAGGGACAAGTCACCGAGAGGCCATTGGTCTTACATTGTTGGTAGAATAGAAAAGGGCAAAACACATTCCATCGACAGTCTATTGATACAATACTAAAATAGCAGAATTGAGGCCCAGATGAGTCACCTGATGGAAAATGACTATCGCCGCCCATGAACTTCACGCAACTCAGGAGTCACAAACGCGTTGCCATGAATGAATGAATAAATATTTTTTCAGATGAACCCTGGGATGTCCGTTTTGCAGTCAAGTTCTACCCCCCAGAGCCATCAGAGTTGAAGGATGACACCACGCGGTATCAAATAGCTCTGGCAGTGCGAAGAGATCTAATTGAATGTAAGGATATTAAAGATGATAAAGAACCATTTTTTTTTGTCTTATATTAGGCAAGGGAGCAAATAGCTCACCCGATGTTAAGTGACTATCGGCACCTTAAGAAATACAAATTAGATACTGCCTTCTCCTCCATACTGGGGATGGGGTGAGGGGGATATGGAGGGGTGGGATCTGGTATCCTCATTTATTCGGTAAAAGTAAACGAAAATATCGCTTAACATCAGTTGTCTCACACAAGCTGTAGTACCACTCTTCTTGAGCCAGCCCATATATTTCTTACTAGCTTTTGCCCGCGGCTCCGCCCGCGTTTCTCAACAATCAAACTATCTCCATACCAAATTTCTGTGAATCGGTTCTGGGGGTTCCCATATAAACTTCCAGCCCCCTTTTCACCCCCTTAAAGAATGATTTCTCGGATAGAAACTATCCTATGTCCTTTCCCGGGACTCAAACTATCTCTATACCAAATTTCCTCTAAATCGGTTCAGCAGTTTAAGCGTAAAGAGATAACAGACAGACAGATAAACAGACACACTTTCGTATTTATAATATTAGTATCGATACATATTATGTTCTGCCAACTCTGGCAAGACAATCGTTCGATTGATTTATACAAGTTTTTAGGTGTTATGTTGTATTTATTGTCATTCTTCCAGCACTGGACTTATGTCAGATAGTTTTAAAAAAAACTCGCAATTTTAAACTCTAAATACTTATTCTGAACTTACTATTTTACGTTACGTTAAACTGTCACTTACGCCATTTTTTGTCATTCTTTCTGCAGTGGACTTTATGTCACATAGTTTAAAAAAAAAACTCTCTATTTTAAACTCTAAATACTCATCTGAACTTACCATTTTAGTTTACATTAAACTGTCACTTACGCCATTCTTCAGCTCGCCTGACCTGTTCACATATCACATACGCTCTTCTCTCTTCGTACGTGCTCCAAGCTGAGCTGGGTGACTACGAGGAAGGCAGCCTGACCCCTTCCACTTTGTCACAGTACAGGGCTGTACCTCTGAACGCGATCACGCCAGAATTTGAAAATAAAATGGAGGATTTATATAAAAAACATAGGCAAGTATCTATAAATATAACATTGACTTCAGCAGCCAAGATAATTAAAAATGGATTGACCTTGGATGTTATGTAGCACCAAAGTACTCACCAAGACAAAATAAATGAGCCCAAACTCGATGGGTTTTTGAAGTTCTTATGGCCGTCTTGGCTTTATCATCAGAACGGCTCCATGTTACCATATTATTGCATTATCACTGAAGATACACAAGTACACTAAATTTGAGACCAATCGAACACTGGGTAGTGGTTCTAATTGAGCTGCCAAGATTCCTGCAAAACACATTTACATACAAACATTGCAAGTTACATCATCATCATCATCATCAGCCTTTAATAGTCCACTGCTGGACATAGGCCTCTCCTTAGTAAGGTTTTGGCCTACTATACCGCGCTGGCCAGTTTAATAAAAACTTATAATTTTGTCTAAGGATTTTATATACAGTTTTATTCAAATTCAAATTCAAAATATCTTTATTTCATAAAAAAATTAAAGTCATAGATTAACACACACACACAATAACAACAATCTCTGTTTTGTCTAATACGAGTAGTTTGGAAAATAATTTAGTAAAAATTATACTAATACAAAATCTATGATATGCTTGTGCCGATCTATAATTATTGAAGTGAAGAATTCTTAAGCCGCATAGTGCGATTTGGGGTGGGGGAAAAACTTATGGGTTTCCGTCACCGTTGCCCTCACGTTGCCCTCAACATGCTGAGTGACGTATTGCGCCAGACGGTTAAGCCACTAGAATGGGGTTACCTATCAACCAATAACAAGACAAGCTTTTTTAAGGAACTAATATTACTCATAGTTCATATTGGACTCATAGTTCAGGCTCATGTTTAGTTGTCGGTTCACGCTGTTTGTCTGGTGGCAGAGGCCAGTCGCCGGCGGAGGCGGAGCTGCAGCTGCTGCAGAGCGCGGCGCGCCTCCCGCTGTACGGCGCGGAGCAGCACGCCGCCGTCGACAGCACTGGAGTGGCGCTGGCGCTGGCCGTGTCACACACCGGCGTAGCCGTCTATAGAGATGGGTAAGTCGTGACATCTAACGCACAATGCCATCTAGTTTCAAACTAAGCAGAGCTTGTACTACGAAAGCTAGATTGACTGATAGAATACTTTTTTACTCGAATCGAACCCACGACTTCAACCCAGCAGTCGCATATGCTACCACTGCATTATCGCTATCAATCTTCAAGCAAAAATCTTCCACAAACTGTGGGAATGTAGTACTTTGACGGGCGTTTAGCAGTTTTTTAGTTGATTTTCACCGAGTTAGTGAGGTTAGTGGGGCCTGAACCCCTGAACCATCTTCCTAATACCGGGAGAGAGACTCAAAGGGCGCAAAGCAGTGGTTGGCGGCGGTAGTCACTTACTATCAGGTGATCCGTCTGCTCGTACCCCAGCAGCCCCCTTATACCATAAAGAAAAAACCTTTTTCATTCGTTGTTCTTGTAAGAGACCATAGAACATAGACCTCGCTCAATAACTTCCACAATGAGTGCTCTTCTGTTTACATCCAGGAGGTTGCTACAACTTTGACCAGTTCCCCAATCCATCCCCCCTAACTCCCACTCCAGAAACAGGAGGACAAAAAGTTTGAGCTCCGGTAAAGTCATTCACTCGATGAAAAGTAATCACAGAATTGCTATCAACATTTTCTAGAATCACTTCGGTTCACGGCATCCTTTGCCGGAGTGAAACCATAACCCGTAGGTGTATCTGTAAGTTATTGCCAGACCAGGCTTCGCATATAATAGTTTCTTTGTCCCCAGAACTTTAATGAATCGTTTCCCGTGGGCAAAAATTACAAAGATCTGCTACAACAAACGCATATTCACATTGCGGCTGCGCGCGAGCGAGTTCGACGAGTGTGAGACGTCACTCAGCTTCGGAACCACCGCCACCACGGCCTGTAAGAAACTGTGGAAATGCTGCGTCGAACATCATATGTTCTTCAGGTAATCTTCCGCATATGCCAGACTGCGCGGATGGCGTAGTGGTTTAAGCGGTCATCTCGCTGCTTCCTACTGAGCAAGACTGTATGCTCCACAAGTTGTTATTATGAGTCTGGGTGTTCTTTGTGTCCGATAATGAATGTTTGTGAAGTCCCCCGCAACACAGGATATTTTCCTAGTTCTGGAGTTGTCTTTTTTAAAGAAAAAAAGCAAAAGATATCCAAGATCTTACGAACATTGGCTTTTAGCTGTGGTGGAGCTTACTTCAAGAGAAGAATTGTCCAGTTTAGGATGCCGAAGAGATGCAAGATTTCGTTGATTCGTCATTCTCATCATCGATTTGAAAGTATTTTTATTTTCACTTAGTAAATAACATTGCAACAAAGAGTGCTTACACCAATGCTAGTCCTCCTCCTCAGAGTCCTCTACAACTTCGCAGCTAAGAGGACTTGCAGCAGTAAGCAAAATACAAAGACTTGAGAACTACAAATACATACAGGTGGAAGCCAATGTGGTCACATCTGACATGGAGTCAGTGAATCATGTTTTTATATACATTTTTCAGTTTTTACTTCAATAGGTATTAGTAATCATTATATTCCGTACTTCTGTTGCCTTACTCACTTGATGAAAGGCAACTAAAGAATTGCCTAAAACCGCCGCGGTTTTCTGTAGGGCCACCACTCACTAATCACCCCAGTGGACTTGGTGCATTTGAGCCGAAGCATGACTCTCCTACTGTAATGGTTTTATACTACTTCTACGATAATTATAGGAATGATTCCGAGAAATGTTTCCTGACTCTTGCTTTTACGAGTATATAATGTATCTTTTGCCGAAGTCGAATTGATCAACCACTAGTACTACACATTTCACATTATTAACCCTTAGAACATTGATTGCGCGATGCAGAATCTTTACTTACTACGTAGTTCGGATTCTGCTGGCTAGATGGCGTTAGTTTAAAACTGTTTTTACTGTGTGCTTCAGATTCGTTGTGTAATTGTTCCAGACGCGAAGCTCCAGTGGTAGTTAGCCGGATTCCAGGGCTGGCTCGGTTGGGCTCGAGACGTATCTCGTGCCGAAGGACCTTACGCCAGCTGCGGCAAGAACCTTCGCCTCCGACTGCCGCCATGGCTTGACCAAAACTGAACACGAATAATTTCATACAAAATTCAATTTGGTGACAGGAAGGTAGTGTTGGAACTAACACCTTTTTAGGTCCAGTTGAAATTGTAAATGGAATTAAAATGGACTTTGTAGCCTTCGAACCCCATAGAAGGGTAACAAACTTTATAACTGAAATAACGTACCGACATATCGCTCATTAAGAATGTAGGATCTTGCAGATGTAGGATCAGCAATTTTACTGGAGAGCGCGTCAAAGTTTAAAATTGCTTAATTTATATATATATATTTATATATATATTTACTTTATTAACATGGCTATTTCAAAAACTATGAGAAAAAACATTGAATTTTGTTAAAAGTACTGAAAAACATTGTTTTTTTTTGTCAATAGTAAAATAAAAACAATATCAAGAAAATTGCATTTCCGACCTTCTTAATAGGGACAGGCGATATATTCAGCTTATATTCAGAAGCATCATTAACGAGTACCGCTTAAAAAACTGCTGTTATAAATCATCAGTTGTGGAACGTCTGTTAAATAAGAAAATTATTTAATTCCTGTTAAACCTTTTTTTTTTAATTTAATGTTGACCACAGAACAAGTTTTACTCTTTTTTCTATGATGTTGACCAATCGTCAAGAGATACTTTCCTTAATAAAACTTGTACACTCCAAGAGTTGCCAACTTCCAATTAAAAAAAAAAATAGTTTAAAAAACACGCTTTTATAGAAAACCAAATTAAAAAATAGAAAATTATTTTTGATAAATTTAAAAAAAGCGTGGATGGTTGTTTACTATACTAAAAAGCGTGTTTTTTTAGTTTTTTTTTAACTTTTTTTTTTAATTAGTGTATTGTCATCGGTCCTCGATATACCTATCTACAAAGTTTAAAGTCAGTCAAAATCACGCCCAAAGGAGTTTGTTACAAACAAACATACAAGTGAAACTAATATAAAGCGTGTAAAAAATAATAATCATTATTAAAGAAATTTTGTGTTGGGAAGGACAATAGAATGTTGATGGCACTAACCATATTCTAACTTAATGAATATGTACTGTACAAAACAGTAAACTAGGTGGTTTTTTGTAAATTAATAAGCTATATAATAAATGTTAAATGTGTTTAAAAATAACTAGAATAGTGTGTTTAAAAATAACTAGAATAGTGACAATAGATATTTACAATAAAGTATATCACGTGACTGCAAAAGCGAACCAGATAAACAAAGACACCGTTAAACAAATTGACAGCTGTCAGTTTGTGTCAGACTATCAGTTGATTCGGTTAGTGACGTAATCAAAGTCTGAGGTTGTTGCCATTGCGAGTGTTTTAGCTGGCAAATTTTTAAGTTTATTTTTGAAGTAAAACTACTTTACGCACGCTTGACTTGGGAGTAAGCTGGTGAATACGTGACGAGGGCGTTACGAAAAGTGTGATCGGGCGTTTCGAACGGAAGTTGAGAGGGAGATATAAGTTAGTGAAGATAGAACGAGAGAGTTACGTTTCGTATATTACTGTGGGGGCAAGAGACAGGTGCGAGCATACATTTTCTTTCTCTCTTTCTCTCATAGCTAAGAAGTTTTACTTCAGTCGTGTGGTCTAAAGCACATTCGTTTTTTTTAATAGATAAGGGTTTTTTTATCAATTTAAATAACCTAGCTAAATATGAAATCAGTTTTAAAAGTTTGTCCATTTGCGTATCCTTCATTTGTATGAAAAATACTTACAAAAAATGGTTCCCGTTTCTTTTCAATAAAAATTATAATTCTCATTAATATATTTCTTTTTAAAAAGTTACTTTCAGGAAATCGAGTTTCAAAGATAACAACACACTCCGTTGTAAATATCAGCATGACTTAAATTATGGGTTTAAGATATTTTTAATGCAAACAAACCGTCAAAAGATTTTTTTTAAACAGCTATTGCAAATAATATGTATTAAACAAATACGTACGTGCCATTTCGACTGCAATATAATGAAAAATTGTCCGTGTAGTGACGGATTAAGCATACGGAATGTCACCACCCCTATTCATCCCGTGGGTGTCGTAAGAGCCGACTAAGGGAGCAAAACAACGCAAGACACCAGCACTGGAAAAAGAAGAAATCTTGACACAAACCCTATACCAACCCGTCTGGCCAGCGTGGTGTAGTAGACCAAAACCTCCTTTCTAACGAGAGGCCTATGTTCAGCAGTGGACTATTTAAGGCTGTTGATGTGATGTGATGATCAGAATGAAAAAAAAAGTCTGTTTTAGAACTAAACTTATGTTAATAAGAAGCAATAAAGTATAATAAAACTGCATAATTTCGTTGTTTTTTTTACTCATATCTTGTCATTATTAATATCTTTCAGCACAAAATTATACATAATTCAGAAGTTAAATACATACCTTAGTCATAAAAATTAATTAGTACACCCAGTTTCTTAGTTTTAATAACCTGGGTACTTGTTACTTTAAATTAATTTAAAAAATCACCAACTTCAATGTGTCATGTCTGCTAATGGGAAAGAATTTAAATTAAATAAAAATATTCACTTGAATTGAGAACCGGTTTAAAACGGTAGCGAGCCATTTTTAAATCGGTAAAAGAAAAAACAGAAACACGATTATTCGATTTCTTTATTGCGACACAAATAACAAACTTCCTTATTAATACAACATTTTTATTTATTTTTTGTTTTTAATTTAACAAACAAGCATTTTTTATTTGACAACAAATTATATTTACGGGCAGATGTATTTCAGTTTTCTTCCATAAATCATTTTGAATAGCTTTAACTGCAATAGTTGACTGACAATCTTAAACCCACTAAAACATTTTCATGTAAAATATTGCCAAGACAAGACCATAGGGGTCGCACTGGCTAAAAGTTATCAGATCTCATGTAGACCCAAGCTTCCAACTCTACACGTCCTCACTCTACAACCCCTAACTTCACAAACTTTAACCTTAGTCAAAATATGTATTTGGTCGTTACGTTACTACAAGAACTATTGTATAACAACAAAATAATGAACAGTCAATATTTTTTTTACCGTACGTCCCTGTGACGGCAGCGAACGACGGTACCCCCAGATATGGCGGTGGCACAATTGTGCCCTAAAAATTTAGAACTAATCTTATAAAATAATCGGTTATATAATTATCGTTATATTATAATTATGTCTTGGGTGAGAGGTCATTGAATAGGATCACCCAAAGACTGGGTAAATCTTGATCGAAAGTCTTAAGATATTATGATCTCATAATTTTTATCAGAACTGTGCAAAATCGCACAGATACGAATTAAAATTGTTATATTTCACACTTGAAATACTTGTATTAAACCCCATGGCAGGGTTACCCCTTTACTATTATATACCTATTCGTGTGGTGACGGATTAAAAATACGGAATGTCACCACTCCTATTCATCCAGCGGGTGTCGTAAGAGCCGACTAAGGAAGCAAGTTTGCTTCCTTCCCAATAGGCAGGACAACAGCACTGCAAAAAGAAGGTAAAACTCAAAACAAACACTATTCCAACCCGTCTGACCAGCGTGGTATAGTATGCCAAAACCTCCTTTGTAAGGACGGGCCTATGTCCAGCAGTACACTATTTAAGGCTTGTGTGAACTAATGTGTGATGATGATTACATACCCCTTCCTATCCTCCTACTAAAATGGAGAAATGGAAAAAGAAGAGATTGTGTGAGAGAGGGCGACAGATAGAGTGAACATATCTAAAGTCATTTTTAATGTCTTTAACTAGGTATTAAGACTGTATCGTTCATTATTTTAAACAAACTTATCAGTATAGAGTCAACCAATTGCCACCGGAGCAGAACACATCCTTCATTTAAAAAAGTCCAATAATATCCCTGATTTCGCGAACTATACCGTCCGTGTCTGTGTGATTGATTCCTTGGAGACCCAGAGCGTAGTTAGGTGTTCCAGCTGTCTGGAGATAGTAATCGCCTCTTGTGGCTGGTTTGCTGCCATAACCCATATAACTGTAAATAAAAAAAAGGTTTTAAACACAGTGTTTATAGGGTCCCAAAGAGTAAGAGCAGATGTGAGCAGGCCCCGCAATACCTACGACTGGGTACGAAAGGCTGCTGGGATCTTGGGAGAGATGACATAAGGTATTTATGGTTGTGGACTGCCCAAGACTGAGATAGTTGGCCCTCTTTGAGGAGGCTTTCATTCAGCAGTGGACGACAGAGTGTTGAGAAAAATGAGACTTGAGTCGGGAACTCCAACCCCTAGTCGAAGCTAGTGAATCTTTAAAACTCAAGCTCTTAGCGTTTCCCAGTCTACAAGGTTCGAACCTTAAGGGTTTTGGTCTTAAAGGCTCAAGAGCCCTAAAGAGATTAATAAGTAATCTATCGTAATTCCTTTTCATCAGAACATTTATACAAAGTACCAAATTCTCTTAAAATAAAGCACTTCCCTAACTTACATTACTTTTTACAAACTATCATCTGACCAAGCCTATTACGTTGCCTATTAAGTTAGCCTGAACTGTATACTATTTATTTAAAAATAGATTACAGTTCAGGCTAACTATAAGATATAATATTGCAATTTTGTATATGTTATTGCAAGTTTACATTTTTTTTTTATCTTAAAAAGACAACTCCCGGATTAGGAATACATCCTGTGTCGCGGTATGACTTTACAAATATACGTGAAACGGACACAAAGAACACCGAGACTCAAAACAACAATTTGTGGATCACGCAAAGTGTCGTCCCATGTGGGGTTTGAACACTCAACACTTGGCGTAGTAGGAAGCGGCTCGGCGACCGCTTAAACCACGCTATCCGTGCAGTTTGTAGTTTGTATTGTATTTTGTTTGTTAGTGATTGTATGGGAACCGTAATTCAGTTATTTATTTGTTGATTATATAAGCAACCGGATATTATTCATCTTACAGCATACATAAATATGCCTTTCGTGTAAGTAAAAGTACTAATGTGGGGAAAAAAACTAAAAAGAAACGTCATTTCTGTCAACATCGGCTTAAATTGCATTAGAAATATTCTTGGTCCAGTAATTGAATAGGCTTGTGTTGTGTCCACTAATAACAAATTGCTTGGTTTATATATTAGAAATGAAGAGACATAGATATGAAAAAACCAGTCTATTTCTCATAAAAGAACAAAACAGGCATTAAGTCACGTGACAGCGAACACCAATCAGAAAGTGTTACGTCACGCCACGCAAAACATCATTGTTGTTGTTGACGTTTTCATACAACAGAGCAGGTTATTCCTTATTGTTTTTCGTTTTTAGCATATTTTCTCACCTTAATACAGTTTCAGTTGACACTGGACACAGATGTAAACAGTTTTGTTACGCAGACTGTGACGTCATTCAAGACGCCATAACACTATTTAGCGTTTTCAAGGGAAATTTAAATTGTTTTTTTTTTAAATACAAAAAACGTAATGTAAATATTACTTTTTCTTTAAAATATAGGTTTTTTTAGGATAAAATAGATATTAAAGCATATAATTAACCAACTTTTCAAATTGAGTCAACTAGCCTATTATTAATAAAAATAGAAACAGACCGTGCAATCAAAACATCGAAATAACAAATATAAACAGTGCTCATTTATTCGGTCGTTCCACGTTCATTACAGCCTATTAAATCTATACTAATATTATAAAGCTGAAGATTTTGTTTGTTTGTTTGTTTGAACGCGCTAATCTCAGGAACTACTGGTCCGATTTGAAAAATTCTTTCAGTGTTAGATAGCCCATTTATCGAGGAAGGCTATAGGCTATGTATCATCACGCTAAGACCAATAGGAGCGGAGCACCAATGAAGAATGATTCAAAAACGGAAAAAATTTATTACTATTGAGAGACGCAGACGAAGTTGCGCGGGTCAGCTAGTAGGCTGATATAATGAGAACGTGTACGCAAACATAATGATCAGTTCTGTAGTTAAAGTGTGCCTGTGTAATAAAGAAACAATTTCATTCAAATAAAATTCTGACCAAATGAAAACCACTTGCCTGATATCAGTATAATCGCAAGCGCCGGATTGGAAGGCTGACCAGCTGGTGCATCTGACTGCGGGGAATCCCTCTGGGTTCGTCACTGACTCTGCGAATAGGAGCCACGCCCGGCTGTGAGAACAGGTCTGAAATAGGCAGTTAGGCTGTTCTGATCCACGATTCGGGTAGTAATCCACATGTCCTGGAAAAGAGAGATGTATTTTAAGATCTTTTTTAAGAAGCTTTTATTATGTAAAAGAATCTTTGAACGCGATTTTCACCGACTTTAAAACGTTGGATTGAATTATAACTTAGTGCACTTATAAAGAACCGATGGCAACATTATAATTAATTAAGATTGTTCGATTATCCTGATCAGGATCTTCAGGGTTAACGGCTTTTTTCCATCTCTGTAAACACGATAGGGTCTTGCGCCACGTTCTAAGGCGTGTACTGATTATGGAACTCACTTACTCGTTATCTTTTAATTTTTTAATGATTAAGTAATCATCAGTAAAGATTAAAAAAGCAGAAATTCATAATACTTAAAAAAAAACACGCTTTTGTAACTATTCGAACTAAAAAGCTCATAATAATTTTGTATAAGTTCTAAAAAAAAAGATTTACTAAAGATATAAATATTTAATGTTAGAAATACGTGAGGTTGTTAATTGTTGTAATGGCGCCTTCCATGGACGCTTGTAAATCAAAATTCGCCAGAATTAGGAAGACGGGAAGAGAAGACGGGCCTAAAATCATTTCGAACTAAACAGTAAAGAAGATTTCTAGTTGTTTCTATATGAATGTAAAACACGATTATATACATAAAGGAATAGTATAGTATTTGACAACCTTTGGGATCGTGAGATCGTGAGTTCCATCCTCGTTCAGTGCAAATATTTATGTACATAGTTCATTATTATACCATAACTAGCTGGTACTCGCGAATTTGAAAAGCGCTGCCTGCGGGTTCGATTCCAGGACCGGTAAAAAATTTAAAGGGTTTTTCTGAGAGGAAATATAGCCTAAGTTACTTCTTAAATAGAGAGCTACCTGGTGGTAAAATATTATCAAAATCCAGCCCTTTGGAAGATTCCCCGGAATAAACAGACAGACAGACAAAAAATAATTAAACTGGTTTTTAGGCATAGGTATCGTGCAAATAACCGTGTGAACATAAAAAAACAACACTAACACTTTAATTTTATTTGTTTGTATAGAGTATTCGTATAGAGTATAGGTAAATTACACCCATACACAAAACAAATGACCGTGCTCATCACACAATTATTTGTCCTGGTTGGGAATCGAACCCACGACCTCCGGCTTAGCAGTCAGGGTCACTAACCACTAGACCAACAGGCTTGTCAGAGTGGCAGCGCAGTTGGGTTACTTCAATTGCAATTGTATAAAAAAAAACTACTCACCAACTTTCTGGTTCATGCCATAAACTCCAGCATTAGAGTGGATAACATCTACAAATTGGGCATCGTTTTGGTTCAGTCTCAGTGGCTGTTCCACGTCACCGAAGCAGGGCCCGGCGGGGTCCAGCCCCGAGATGCGCCCCACGTGAGACCCCGTCAGTGCCAGCACAGTTTTACCAGTGAAGCCTGCTATGTGGGACCCCAAACTGTGCCCCACTAGGTGAATGGATGCGGGATCAAGACCAGCTGTGGAATAAGGAATTATTTGTTGTAGTTATAAGCCTAAACAATCGACTTTTAGGGAGTACACTGCATTGCATGCATTACATGCCTAAAGCTTCATCAACAGCCTTTAATAGACATTCCATTGCTGGACATAAGCCTCTCCTTAGATAGGAGGTTTTGGCCTACTATATCGGGGCGGTTATACCCCCGAGAGACGAGGACAAAAAAATTTTTACTTATTACTTAGGGTTGAGTTGCCAAAATCAAATTAGTAACAAAAAAAATTGAGTCCTCCAAATCCGCCCCTATTACGAGTACACCATTGAACCTGACACGCCGACTATTAAAAAAATAGAGACTTTTAACTCTATTTTAATAGGATAAGGTTATTACTTTATTGACAGTTTTATTTCAGGGCAGATGATGGCCGTATGTAGGAAAGCTGGCTGTAGGCGTAGGAGTAACAGAATTAGAGAGTATCTCGAAGAACCATAGGTGACTACTGTAATTTAAGATATCATTATGACCATAGAGATAATATAGTAGAGGCGGCTAGCCGTATGTCGGCCTGTAAGCGAAACCGTAACAGAGTTAGAGAGAAAAAAAAAGATTGTGCGGGTCTTGCATCTCTCTCTCCGCTCTTCATTGATTGGCTGTCAGTTCCCTTTTTTTTGCTGTGCGGCACTCCCCTCGAATGCCACCAGTGGGTGATTATGTCGGACTCGAACCGACCAAAAACCGCAAGCCGTCTCAAGGTACCAGTAGCCGGGGAACCAGGTAGACCTTAGAAAGGAAAGCGATGGTACCCCGACGTACCTCGACTACAATTTACAATTACATCTCTATAAAGATTAATATAATGAGAGGTGTTCGAGCAATGAGGGTTTTCGATATTTTTTCTGCCACCAGACGGCGCTTCGTATGCGTCAGGTCCAAACAGCTGTCAGATAGCACAGATTCTTACCGAACGTATAATTTTTTAGTGAAATTCTATGAATTTGGAAGTGTTATTGAGTTTATTATAGATTACGGCCAGAGAAAGGTTGCCGAACTGAAGATTGAGCTCAATAAGAGAGGCGCAAAAGTTTTATTTGCACACAAAGGCACTGCACAACACTGTGGTATTTTAGAAAACAATACTCGTTTTCTAACATTTTTAAGAATGAATTAATCAAAAAAAATGATCGCAAAATACAAATCGTGTATGTGTTTTGAAAGGTGGTTGGACCTGACGCTACAGTGATGCCATCTCACGTGGAACATTTCAGAAAACCCTCATTTCTGCGTCCTTCTGTAAACTGACATTTCGACCTTCTGTCTCAATACGTGATATTGCTTATCTAAGACTTTGATCACATTATGATATATTACACAGTGTATAATTTAATTGTTTTTCATTGAAAACATTAATTATTAATGCAAGTCTATTAAGAAGCTTAGGTAGATGTTTAAGCCGTGTGAATCTCTATGAATAAATGAATATTGTTTAATGATTGTGACGTGTTCATGGAAGTCATTAAATACCTACTATATTACGTAGTAAAGAACAATTATTGTGATGATATTTATTTCGTAAAACTATTTTACCTACTAGTTGATGAGATGAACTATATAAATAATGTTAGACTCTTTAAAAAATTGGCTTTCTTTGTAAATATAATTTATCTTGTAAAAGACGCCATTTTATTAAAATTCGTATTTAGAATAATGAAACAAAACACGTGAAGCTATGGCATTTCAAGTATTTCAAACGTCAGATTGACATCTTAAATGTCAAGTTGTATTATTTTTTATTCCATGCCTATAAAAGCCATAACAAAGAGATTATAATCTTGTTTATGGTAATATCTGTTTATGGTTTTGCTATTGCATAGTAGTAGATAAGTGTAGAGGTTTCCTTGTTCCTTGAATTTGTCGAGATCTTTTACAAATATAAACGTAATTGTTTATGTTTCTTATTGCAGTTAAAGCGACGGATGCCATTGCTGAATTATGATGTCAGTTGAAGTTTTGACAAAAATTAAATAACGAGATTAAATTTTAAATGCTCATCCATTATCATCATTATATAAAGTCGACATTAGGATGATAATTCACGATCCCAAGTTTGACTTTGAGACCTCTGGCAGCTCTGGTCGCTAGATAATTCGCCCGCGTGTATGTCGATTATCGAGGTAAAAAGTAACATATCTTACTCGCTGATAATGTAGCTTTCCATTGGTAAAATAATGTTTAAAATAGACTTAGTGGTTCAGGCGTGCATGCGTAACAAACACACTAACTCACGGTTACATTTATACATAGTATAAATATGGATTTGACGACCTCTTTGGTGTAACATTGAACATTTGATTGGAGTGACAGAGCTCGTGTTTAGACGGTATCATAACAAACATACACATATAGGTGTACATTTACCTATTTTTTATATCTCAGTGTGTATTTCTATGTTCTAATACTCATAGTACACGCTATGCTTAGTTTGGGCCTAGATTTCAATGTGGTATTTTGCATAACGTTATTTTTATTTAGCATAGCAAGATTATATTGTTTTGTTGAAGTGTTGAATTCATACAACCACATTGAAGTACTGTATAAATACATAAACCACAAAAATAAACACTGAATACCCTTCTATAAGGTTCAATCTAGCTGATTCGGTATGTCCTAAAAAGACAACTTGCTTGAGAATATGTTTTCGGCTAACTTGAAGATCAACTTAAGGCGAGGTTGCAGCGATTTTGCACTTTTTTGAAGAGAAATAAATACCCTAATATGCATTTATTGTGCATGAAACTAAATATTTTTTAAAAATTAAACATATAATCTAGAGATCCGTAAAGATGGAAACATGATTTATTGGATTTGGCTCGATTAAAAAAATCACAAACATAGCACTAACTCACGATTTCAAATAGAAATTGTTGTAAAATGCCACCATGGATTCACGTAAAAATTATACCAGAAAATAGAGCTTATTTTATTTTAGGGATTTGTAAGGATACATTTTCACATAGTTGTACCTACTTATAAAAAAAGGGAAACAAAAAATATGTTTTTGCGCTTGCTTACGGCGGCGAAGTTCGCCTGTCAGAGCTCGCTGAGCCTTGTTTGAGGTCGGACGCACGTCATTTTGCTCCGTGAAATTCCCCCGCGCAAATACGTAAAATTCGTTTTCACAGAGCTTCAACAGAATACTTATAAGTTAATTTTAATATAATTATTCCTTCTGCTTTATTAGTAAATTATTTCCGTCTACAATGTTTATAAAACACAAAAATAGTAAAATTTTACATACACATCAGTTTCACTGCGCCACAGTCTAAAAAAATCAGTATGCATGTGAGTACAGTATTCATTGGTAGTATAGAAAGAAGGTAATCAGAAAATGTTATTAGAAATCTTATTGATATTGTATAATCTTGGTATAGTCAGGCACATTTAAATTATGTGGAATTCAATACATATTTTTAAAATCAGGAAAAGAAAATGAAGCATCACCAGGCTCTTTGACATACGCTTAAATTCCGAGTGTATCTGACACTAATATTTTACAGTACACTAATTTTTGAAATTATCTTTGAAATAGAAAGCGAAATATTAATTATTATATATATGAAATTGATAGAACCAATTTAAGTATGTTGGTAAATAAGGTCTCTTCAGACAGCACTGTAACGAAACGCATTATTGTAAGCTAACTATGCTGTGCGAATAGGAAAGCCCGCTTGCCTATTGCGCTTTGACATGACTGATATAAAACTTAAGAAAGTTTAGAGTAAAACCTCCACCTCAATCATCATCTTTTATTAAAGTTATGTAAATTATTCAACTTATGTTGTGTGTATTATTAATTAAAGCCTGTATTATGGTACCCAATCTGCTGATAAACTCATGAAGTAAGAGAAATTTGTAGAATAAGGTATTAAAAAAAAACGACGGGTTGCACTCCGGGAGTGCCGGCAGAAGTGAAAACTTTAATATTAACGTTGTGCATTTTTGATATTTTGGAATGGTTAGGAAATAATTTTGCACGAATTGCTTTAATTATCAATATAAAAGTACTATCATTTATGTGGTAGAATGATTTATTGCGCTATCTTACACAAACATGACAATTTATATTACATTAAAAAGTTTATCTCTCAGAAAAACGAACATTCGCGCAAGCGCCCTACGCCGCCTAAACGAAACAGCAGGCGCAGGCATACATTTTCGCCGCGACGTAGAAAGAGAGGGGGATACTTCCTCTCCTACGCCGCGCCGGCTGTCTACTCTCCATCCATCTTACGAATTTTCGATCAGGTCACGTGTCCTGACGCGAGATTAACATTTATTACCCATTACAAAAAAAGTGTACAACGCCGCTAAAGATGTTTTCTCTTCAAAAACATCTATTGTTTATGAGATTTTGAGTAAACAAATTATATATGTAGGAAGTAATGACCTAATATCCTATAACTAATAAACCTTAGTTCGCCTGTTTAAACGGTCATTTAATTCCAATATTTTTTCGTGTATACCTATTTTAGTAGAAAGCTAACACACAGGTGAATAACAAAAGTTTAAAAGTGCAAAAGCCAATTAGAATAATATACGTCAAACATGATATTCTTTTCTAACTACTGCATTACGAGTACGCTACACTGTGGCACAATATCTGGACGTAACTTTGAGTGGCGCGCAGCCGACTCGCGCAGCTTTTTGACACGCTGCGTCTTTGCGTACGATACGTTAGCGGGGGGGGGGGGGGGGAGGGGGTGAGGTAATGTTTGCACACCTACGTGGTGTTAGGTAGTAACCACTGTTACTACCTAACACCACGCTGCAAGAGCGCCTTAACGAGTTAAGGTTGTAATAATTAGTAGTGTTTTTAAATCTTACCTGCAATCATCGAGGCGATAGCTTCACCAAGTCGCTGTCCAATGAATCTCACCATGGTACTTGAGCGTAAATACAAAAAGCGGATAAGAGAGCTCGCATCTAGGGCTAGAACATTGCCGGTACCTGGAACAAGGATATTAGTTATAAATTGGGAAAAAGAGAAGGCGGATGATTGGATGGAAAGTGACTGGCGCCCAGGGACACTAAAGAAACATTAGTGGTCGCCATTCTTAGAGTGCACGCCCCAAACTAGAGAAGGGTGAAACAAGGAGGTGAGTTGGTCTGCGGTGACCTAGGTACCAAGTGAGTGCACTTGGTGATGAACAACAAAAGAATTACTAAACACATTTTTTCTGTGAACCGGCCAATTTGTGCCGATGTATGGCTCTACATTATTACACCCATAGACAAATATTTTATTATCAAACAAATCACATGAGGAATTATAAATGTAAACGAGTGTTTATTGAAATCCCGAAATTTGATCAGTGGTTTAAGCAATCGCTACACTGCTTTGGGACAACACTTTCTGTGATCCACAAATTGTTCTGAGTTTGGGTGTTCTTTGTGTCCGTTTTATGTATGTTTGTAAAGTCCCCCGCGACACAGGATATATTCCTAATGCGGGCGTTTCTTTTTTCCAAAAGACAAAGAAATAGGGTAATCCCAAGACGTGAGTAAAAATCACCTAAGAACCAAATTAATAAGGGAATAATGCTAATAAGTTCTAAAAGGAACGTAGCCACGTGTTCTACCCGGCCGGTTTTTGGGAATTTGGGGTTTGCCTGTCTTCCTCAGTCATTCAGAAATGTCATCACACCACACATTATATCAACAGCATTTAACAGTCCACTGCTGGACATAAGCCTCTCCATAGAAAGGAGGTGTACGGAGCGTGGAATAGTAGCTGGCCAGACAGATTAGTATAGGGTTTGTTTCAAGTTTTCCTTCTCTTTGCAGTGATGTTGTTCTGCGCAGTTTACCCCCGGCTCTTACAACACCCACAGGATGATTAGGGTGGTGACAATCCGTGTTCCTAATCCGTCACCACACCGATAATCACCACGGCACTAGCACAAATGTCATCACCACGATTTTATGAACTTCAAATTCTTTTAATATCTTGTATTGACACACCACGAAAAGTGACGTTCTCGTTAGTCTAGTGGTTAGAAATACTATCTTCTGAATCAGAGGTCGTAGGTTCAATTTTCACTCGGAATAAACAATTTAAAATAAAACCAATAACTAAATGCGAAGCTTAGGACCGAACGCGATGGAGGACTACTGGGGATCCTCTGCCCCATCTCACGGACTTAGGATATTAAGTCAAGTCATCACATCATCATCAACAGCCTTTAATAGTCCAGTACTGGACATAGGCCTCTCCTTAGAAAGGAGGTTTTGGCCTACTATACCACGCTGGCCAGACGGGTTGGTATAGGGTTTGTGTCAAGTTTTCCTTCTTTTTGCAGTGCTGGTTGTTTTTCGCCCTTAATCGGCTCTTACGACACACCCAAAGGATAAATTGGGGTAGTGACATTCCGTACTCTTAATCCGTCACTAAAAATCAATAATATTAAAAGACTTACCTTGAAGTAGGAAAGCATTACTGATGTTCTTATAACTGTCCTTGGTTGGGTCATCGGTGAAACCGTGAAGGTATATGATGAGGCCGTCCTTCGGCTTGAAGTACTGCGATGATGACACCGAGGTTAACGAATTAAGGTTGTACTGGATCTTTACTTCCCTGAAAAGTATTTTTTTTTTTAAAACGACAACTCCCACACTAGGAATATACTCTGTGTTGCGGGGGACATTACAAGCACTTATGTAACGGACACAGTGAATACCCAGACTCAGGACAATAATTTTTGGATCACACAAGGTACTGTCCCGTGTCGATCGAACCCACAACACTCAGCGCAGTAGGAAGCGGCGAGGTACCCGTTTAAACCACTACGCCCTTAGTGAAGTTCATATTTCTTTGAAGAGCTTGAACAGATGGTAGTTGGATCATATTCCTTCAGGCTGCTTGTGTTAGGTATGAGTTCAGGTTGACATCGCCTAATTGAAAAATACCCCGAGGTGGTGTCCACGCTCTTGCGGGCAGATGCTTTTAGGTGTCCAAATGCCTTAATAAAAGCTGTAAGGGAATCTTTGCTATTGTAGGTACAGGTAAACTGTGTGGTTTTAGTTATATAGAAGGAAGAAAAACTTGAAACAAACCCTTCATCGACCCGTCTGGCCAGCGTGATATAGTAGGCCAAAACCTTTCTAAGGAGAGGCCTATGTCCAGCGAGCGTACTACTAAAGGCTGTTGATGATGATGAGATTCTGAAACCCCAATTATGCGCAAAAATCGGTAGGATAAAGACCCGAGGGATTTTCAAACTCAAAAAAAGAGTTAGGTCATGTCAGCACCTACTCTGGGTTTGAAGCCGCAAACACTTGATTGCAAGCCGGATGATATGGCACAAAACTCATTCCAGGTATAAGATACTCTTCTGCTGGACCATTACTTTTACTCTTCGAATCATCCCTATCTCTATAACTCTCACCCTCCCTCTTTTTCTGCACTTTAAATAAAATCACTCTCAAATTAGTGAAAAATTGGATGGATCCCGTGACGGTTTTGACCAGAAAATTGGAGTATATAGTTGAGTGGAAGGAGAAAATATGAAAACAGGATAATGTAATTTAAGCTTACTTGGTGATGAAGTCTAAAGTCAATCTGCTCATGTCAGGTTCGTCACGATACTGTTCATAATCGACGCCGAATATCCTCTTGACGTGCTTGCCTGATCGAAAACAAATCAATAAATCAAAATTGACGTCAATAAATTAAAAAAAAATTGTATCCTTATAACATGCAGTACAGAAAGTACAGTTATCCGTGTGGTGACGGATTAAGAATACGGAATGTCACCACCCCTATTCATCCCGTGGGTGTCGTAAGAGCCGACTAAGGGATCAAAGTGCACAGGACAACAGCACTGCAGCGAGAAGGAAAACTTGAAACAAACCCTATACCAACCCGTCTGGCCAGCGTGGTATAGTAGGCCAAAACCTCCTTTATAAGGAGAGGTCTACGTCCAGCAGTGGACTGTTATAGGCTGTTGATGATGATGAACATACAGTAGTATAACATACATAGTATATTGCAATTAAAGTTTAATTCAATGTGCAGCACACACCGCTATCCACAGCTCACATTGTTATGCTACACTACTGCACTGCGAAAAGAAGGAAAACTTGACACAAACCCGTCTGGCCAGCGTGGTATAGTAGGCCAAAACCTCCTTTCTAACGAGAGGCCTATGTCCAGCAGTAGACTATTACAGGCTGTTGATGTGATTGATGTGATGACATTGTTATAAACTTATGACAATGTTGCGGTACAAAATCAAATAAATTAACATTGAACTTTTGAATTTTGACACAATGTTTCTTACATTAATTACTAAATTTTCTCAGTGGCTTTTTAATGTAAATTTAAATTTACTAGCAGACCTTTAAAACACATCCCAAGAAAAGCTTATTGTATTTTCTACAAATACGACGAATAGTTGCGAGCAACCCAGCATTAGTTTTACACGTATAATTTAAGATTATACATATATAAATTTTAAATAGACTCCTAGAACTCTCAATTTTTATCCATTTGATTTTTATTTTTATCCATTTGGTTGAGTTTGGCTACGATCTATAAACCCATACCTTTGTTACCAATGTTTTTTGTTCTTGTCAAGTTTCCTTTTTGAAATCCTCATGATATCCTTTTTTTTCATTTGAAAAGTACCCTTATATCAACAACTACTAACCAAATCTATACAATTCAATAAAAATTTAAGTGTCAGTTTGTAATGTCAAAATAATAGGTTTTTTTCATGCTCAAACGATTATTTGCACGATACCTATGCTTAAAAAACAGTTTTTTTTTGTCTGGCTGTCTGTTTGTTCCCGATAATCTTCTAAACGGCTGTACCGATTTTGATAACATTTTACTACCAGGTAGCTGTCTATGTAAGGAGTAACATAGGCTATTTTTCCTCTCAGTGAAACCCTTTAAAATTTTGCACGATCCAGGAATAAAACTCACTAAGGCAGCACTTTTTTTTTACTAGCTTTTCACTACTTATCTACTAATTTTTTTACTAGCTTTTCACTACTTACTAATTTTTTTACTAGCTTTTCAAATTACACGCAACTTCGTTCGCGTGGAATTTGAAAGGCTAGTAGAAAAATTAAAAAATCACGTCTTCAAAAAAATTAACTAAAACTAAACTAAACTAAAAAAATGACTAAAAAAAAGGTTAACTTACACTGACTAAATCCAATGAAGACTATAGTTTTGTCTATGGGGTCCTTGACAGATGCCAACTCTTTGGTGAAACCTTTAAAAATTCCACCTAACTGCGCTGATGCGGACGAAAGCCACACCGCCGAGAGCATTGTTAGCCATCGTGTCATTTTGGCTGGCGGCTGTTAAAATAAACATAATATTTATAAACTATGCTAACGAATGAAAAACGCGTGGAAAATCCCTTGGAATCTGCTGCTCTTTGACGATGATAGGACGCTCAGTGACGTTACGGGAGCAATGGAGCATCTGGTGTTTCCACTAAAAACCAGCCCGACGGCAGGTCTCAGGCGCCCTTCTCTGGGAAGGACCCAGACTATGTGATTTCAAGTTCCCCCGGATAACAGCCGCCCTATACCGGGCGTAGTCGTAAGCTTGGTCCAAATGGTTCAAAACGGTTCATAAACACCTAAGTTTTAAGGTAACAAACATTTGAAAAAAAAGGAACTTTTGTTTTGAAGTCGGTTTAACCTTTTTTTACTTACTGCCACAAATAATTTAGTCTTCTATTCTTTAATCAATTAAGTTTTATTTGAAAATGATTAATTGAGTGGATGTGTCATTTTCGCTGGAATTTTGCAATAGAACTGATGACGTGAATTGTTTATTAACTTGCTAAACGACGTGTTTAGCAAGACGTGAGACATTTATAATCGGGTATTTAATCTCAGTGGTATTACGCAGAATCGCAACCTTCAATTAAACGCTAGATTAAGAATTATAATATTTAAAAATAACATCAAACTCGGTCTTTTTAATGGCATGCAAGTTGAGGACATCGAAATACAATAGATAAGTTTATTATATTATCAACAAAAGAAAGATCAAAAAGATAATATCAATTATTAAAAAAATAAGGAAGCCTTTCAGTAGTCAGTCTAAGGATAATCTAAGGATAATAAATATCGGTAGTTGAAATGATTTATTTATTTTAATAAATTTTTAATTTTTATTTTAATAAGTTTTTTATTTCATTTTTTATAATTTTATGTTTTTAATAATTTGTTTTCATTAATTTATTTATTTTAATAATTTATTATTATAAAAATAAGTAAATCATTTCCTCAAAAAACGTAAATTAATATATTTTCAACTACCGATTTTTATACATATACCAATGGCCACTCGATGGCATCTCAATAGCGTGTCAGTGGTCTGACAGTGGCTTGGCATGAACATAAAATAGCAGAATTAAGGCCCTGGTTGCCATACAAAAATCCGTGGCAATCGTTACGGGTGTTGAAAGCTTTAAAAATTCCGACAATAGTCTATCTACGGAACTTCGATTTTGCTTAGTACTTGGATTGTGGTTATCTAATGACAGTCGCTCCTCGTAAAAACTTGAAGTTCAGCCATCTTGCAGTCTTGTTCTGCATCTTGCTGAAAGCCGACCCCAAATCGGCTTTCAGTCTCCCACGACATACTACTGGTTTTTGCAAACGCTCGGAGGATGAAGCAGGAAATTTCATATAGGTAACGAAGACTTACAGAATCAGCAAGCTTATCAAAGAAGTCCAAATCTTCAATCTGGTTTTCCATGTCTTCCTTTTATACTATAACTGTTCGTACGATGAAATTAACTAACTAATAATTGATTTACAACGTTGACTGACGTAGCGTAAAATATCAACTTCAATGCAAAGGGTTGTCGATTGTACCGTGTTGCGCAGAAATAATCCAATATGCCGGCGAAAATATAAGAATAATAATATTCTGCCACATTCACACAACGCCATCTAGTCCCAAACTAAGCAGAGCTTGTACTATGGCTACTAGACAACTGATATAAACACATTTGTACTTTTTTTTGTAAATACATACATATTATATATAGAAACGCCCGGACCAAATCAAACATTTTTTTTTAATATAAAAAAAAGACAACGCCCGCATTATTATTCTGTGTCGCGGGGGACTTTACAAACAAATATGAAACGGACACAAAGAACACCTAGACTCATAAGAACAAGTCGTCAGAAAAAAAAGTGTCGTGCCATGTGGGGATCGGACCCACAACACTCAGCATAGTAGTAAGCAGCGAGGTGACCGCTTAAACCACTACCCCATCCGTGCAGTCAAGTTCATGCACACAAATGTTTGACTTCAGCGGGAATTAAAGGTTGATGCTAAACTATTATGAATGATAAATAGATTTTTTTCTAGAAACCCACTTTTTAATTCCACCTTTCTTTTAAAAACCTTTATTCATTACCATTACAAACGACAACTTTAATGAATTTGAGTTTTTAATCAGCCTATCGGAATTATTAACGTTTGTGGATTAAATTCTGCAGAACACGGTTCAATTTTTATCAATTTTTACATTGATTGAATCCGAATGTCTTGTAAACTGTACGAAATATTGTAATCTAGAACAAGATAGAGATTTGAACACTGGTTTACTATTTTACGAAGAAGACACTAATACTTTTATAACATCTTTAGATGTCATTTTAAAAACGATGGTTTAACATTTACGGCAGATGATGCTAGAACGATACGTAACAGCAGATACAATGTTCGATATATGATGAACAAACTATTGCTGAAGTTTGCCGAAGTACTTATTGAAATAAAACTGGTTTTATCATCAAGTGACGACTTAAATTAGTTCAAGCATTTAATTAAGATGGATAACAAGTAATTAAGCAATTGTTCTTACCTTTATCGTGACTAAACATTAATTAAAATCCAATAGTACTACATATATTAAAGATGTAATATATTAAGACTTTCTACCGCCCGTTTTAGGCTTTCTTCACACAATATTATCGTTATTTTTCTACCCTTATCTTAATTTATCTGGTTTTATCGCAATATGGAACATTTTAAGAGATTTTGTCTGCTTTCTCTGATGGCTGGCCGTCAGCTTGATGCCAAGATTGGTTTCCAGACGGGAAAAATTAAGAAGGAATATTTTTCCCTTTCCGGGCAAGGAAAGAAAGAAAGAAGCATGAAAGCCAAGGCCTATCTTAGCTCCCTCAATCTATAAGCTTTATCCCTTAGGATATCTAACACAAGACTCTAATGGATAAAAGGAACAGAGAACAGAGATTGAAAAAGCCAGAGTCACATACACGTCCTGTTATTAGAGGTGCTGCTAGGACACCAGGCCATAAAGTGATCAAATTCCTCAACACAAGATATTTAAAAATACGATATACCATATCTGTCACATCTACCAGGTGTATGTTGATATTCAATCATTTTATGTATTAAAAATATAATGTTTGTAAATGGCAATCATTTTCGCAAAAATATATTTTGGCACTTATGTCAAAAGAGGTTTTTTTAATAACTTACCCGCGGCGGACGGAAGTCTAAGATCACAGTAATTTTAGTGCCTTCACTGCGTTATTCAGTTTATATTTAGTTTTTTTAAACAAAATAATTAAAATGTTCTCTTTTGGTGTATTGTCCTGTGATCCCAAGTGCAACAGCACCGAAACGTCTATGAACGATCAAGTAAAAACTAAATGTATAAAAGAACCGCAGACCGCATATGGGCGGCTACTGGTACCCGAGACGGCGTGCGATTTTTTATAGGTTCGAGTCCGACATAATCACCTCAACGGTGGGTGATACCGACGGGATATCATCGGGGTCTCGCCCGGAGTTATAGAAAACCGGTGTTAAGCATTTCTTTTCTTAAGCATTTCATCTCCCTCTCCCTAAATTCTGGTGAGGGATGAGACTTAAAGGGTGGGAACGCACATCTTTCTCTAAAGTTGCAGGTGTCTATGGACGGTGGTAGTCACTTAAGATCAGGTTTGTCTCCTATAAAACTACCATAAAACCCTATCTAGCCAATAACTAGTTTAATGATAATATTTTTAATTTTATAATAAATAAAGAATTGTTTTACCGATAATAATTTATTCATACTTAACCTTACAGTTTCTTTGAGAACGTCTTAAGAGGAAATAACAACAATTTAAATTAATATTCATGAGGGAAAATCTAAGGTAAACAGCTTATTATTATTTAAACTTATAAAGTTCACATTACTTTATAAGTTTACTAGCCATCCGTCCTGGCTTCGTACGGGTGCAATGTAGAAACTACTAATACTTCTAATGTGGTGTGAGTGTGGAGTAATTAATTATTTATACTATTATTATGATAAGACAGACACTACAGGACATCTTTATGTACAATATTCATCATCATCATCATCAACAGCCTATACTAGTCCACTGCTGGACATAGGCCTCTCCTTAGAAAGGAGGTTTAACTATTATATATTAACTGCCGGCGGCTGCCACTTACGTATGGCCCGATGATGACCTCTTTGACCCTGCATTTAATTGGATAAGGACTAAAACTGTATTGTTCCAAATAGCTTCGTAAATAACCCTTTTTTGTAATCTGACAAAAATAGTTGGTATAGAGTTTGTATAAAGTTTTAGTTCTTTTAGCAGTGCTGTTGTACTCCGTAGTTTGCTCCCTTAGTCGGCTCTTACGACACCCACGCAATGTACAAACCGGCGATTTTATTTTTTTATTATGTTCATATACACAGTGTCTCTCACAATTAAGATAAATCTTACAAAACTTCTCAAGCAATAATCTATCAAGGGGTTAAGTCTACATAGCGTGGCATAGACATATACATACATACACTGGAAATACATAACTCCTTCTAGCGCAGTCGGATAAAAACCACCATCCACATATTATCTTCATCACAATACAATTATTACGTACGATGGCGTATTGGTTTAAGTGGTCACCTTGCCACTTCGCTGCGCTACTGCGCTTGGTGTTGTGGGTTTGATCAACAACACAACACTTTCTGTGATCTACAAATTGTTGTTCTAAATCTGGGTCCTCTTTGTGTCCGTTTCATGTATTTTTGTGAAGTGAAGTAACCCGTCACACAAGATGTATTCCTATTGCGTGGAGTTGTCTTTAATAAAATAAGCCCAATCTATACCTATAAAATCCTTTTGAAAAAAAGACTTCATAAAATACTAAAAAACACCAAATAAACGCACTGCTCCAATGAGACAGCAAGGTTTCGTAAGTAAACAAAAATATCATCAATGTATACAATTTTTAGTCCATTTTAAGAATAAAAAGGAGAACTACGGTTACTAGACACCTGTTATAAATACATATA